TAGGGCACTAACCTTAGCAACCAATCCATAAGATTAACAACCAGCAAATAACCTTGTCAGCCAGTCCATGAGCTTAACAACAAAACCATAAGCTTAACAATACAACTATGTATCATGCCACGTCCTTCTTTACAATCTTGCTTACAACCTTAACAAAGAAAAAATAATCTTAACAACCACGCCGTGATCTTAACAAAAAAACACTAAACTCTGTATTTGACAACCTTATATCATGCCACGTCCTTCTTTACAATCATGCTTAACAACAAATAACCTTATCAACAACCCCGTGATCTTCTCAACAATTCCCTAAGTTCAACAAAACAATGAGGACTGCTATAACCTTAACAATAAACAAATAAGCCTAACAACAGAGGTAAACATAATAACAAGGTGTTAAACTTAGCTACCATTCCATAAGCTTGACAACAGAGCGCTAACCTTAGCAACCAATATATAAGCTTGAAAATACTACGCCAAACTTCACAATAAACATGTAAACTTAGTAACCAGTCAATAAAGGTGACAGCGAGTCCATAATATTTTTGATAAAACGGTAAACTTAACAAAACAACCTGTATCAAAAAATAATTTTCTTTACAATCATGCTACAACCTTAAAATAAACAAACAAACTTATCAACAACCCTGTAAACTAAACAAATAAGCTCAACAATACGATGACTACTGCATGTATTACCATTGTCTCTACTCAAAATTCCATAACCGTAGGTGAATATAACTGGCTCCCTTCAATGAGCTTGTTCAATAACAAGATAGTTAAGATTCATAGGTGCGTGTAACTGGCTCCCTTCAATGAGCTTGTTCAATAACAAGATAGTTAAGATTCATAGGTGCGTGGAATACAATAAATTCAGATGGATGCTTGTTCAATAACAAGATAGTTAAGATTCATAGGTGCGTGGAATACAATAAATTCAGATGGATCAATGCATGAATCACCTAGGAAGGCATGCGAATGCTGGTGAAGATAGTCTTCTGGCTTACGTTTACATTGTATAGCTATACAGTGTTAACATAAGCCAGAGGACTATCTCCACCAGCATTTGCATGCCTTCCCATGTGATTCACGCATGACCCATCTGAATTGATTGTATTCCACGTACCTATGAATCTTAACTATCTTGTTATTGTACAAGCTCATTGAAGGGAGCCACATAAATTCACCCATAGCTAATGGAACTAAGAGCAAACACATAAGGGGATAATGTATTCATCAGCGTGAGGGATATCCAAGATCTTCATCAGTGTGCGCAAACCTTGTCGCCATGACCTTCATCGGCGTGAAGACTAGCGTTGATCTTCTGGTTTTAATGGCGAAAGAAGAACTTATAGGTTTTGGGGAGAGGGTAGCTCGGGCTTCAGATATAAAGGATAGAGGGTCAACAGAGAGTCGACGATGGGGAGATCGAGGAAAGATTGTGCCGAAAGGATATATGCGCTATCTTGTAGTTGAACAGGCAAAGGGATGATGATGTTGCCGCGTGGAATGTGGGGGTAGGTAGGACTCCAGGTTATATTAACTCTCCTCCTTGGGAACTAGGAGGAACATTGAATGCAGTAGAAGAGAATATACCCCGATGACCGTGATAACCAAGCGTAAGTGAATAACAGTAAGGGACCTAACAGTAAACATAACATTCAATCGATAAACCTAGCAACCAAATAGTAACCTTAACATCAAAACCATGACCTTAACATTTGTAACTATATACTTGACAATAAATCCATATGCATGATAATAAAATGTTAAACTATATAGGCTCGTTCCAGTATAAGATTTCTTGGATTCTGACTGTATGATAGCATCAACCATTTGAATGCTAATAACCTTATCTATTCCCCATTGTTAATTCTCTAAGTTTCATAAACTGTGCTTGAATATAAATGGTTTCCACCAAAGAGCTTTCCAGCAGCCTGTTAAGTTCACGAAAAGCTCTTTGGAGAAGGTCATTACTATTCAAGCCCATCTGATGGAACTTAGAGAAAATAACAATGGGGAATAGATAAAGGTAATAATATTCAAAAAAGGTTGATGCTATCATATGGTCAGAACCCAGAAATATTAAAGAAGTCTTCATCAGCGTGAGGGCTAGCCGTGATCTTCTGGTTTATGAGATTGGAAAGGGGAGAGCTTAGGATGATCGAGAAAATAGTGAGGACAAATAGAATGGCGGTGATGGGAAGATAAAGAAGATGTAAAGGTGAGGAAAAATGTTATATAGTTCAGTTCTGTATTGGAACAATCCGAGGGATGGTGATATTACTCTACTACCTTGGGAACTATGAAATGCATTGAATGCAGTCAAATCAAAAATATCTCGGTAACCTTGACATCCAATTACAAGTGAATAATAGTAACCTTAACAACAAACAAATAAAATTGACAACCAAGTAATAACCTTGACAACCAAATAATAACCTTAACAACCAAGCCAAAACATTAACATTAAAGTGATAAAATTAACAACCAAGTAATAACCTTAACAACCAAGCCATAAAACTTAACAGTTTTAACGATATACTTGACAATTTTAACAATCGGTGATACCGACAACAAAGAGTAGGTGGATAACATGTGGATAACAGTAAACCTAACATTCAATCGATAAACATATCAACCAATCCAAAACTTTAATATTAAAGTGATAAACTTGATAACCAAGTAATAACCTTAATAACCAAGTCAAAACTTCAACATTAAAATGATAAACTTGACAACCAAGTAATAACCTTAACAGCCAAGCTATGACCTTATCACTTGTTGTTTGTGGAAAAATTTGTAAAAAAAGAAACGAAGGAAAATTGATTTTTATTCCTTTAATCTCAGTTACAATTGGATTTTCTGATTATAAAAGAGAGAAGAATGAATTTGATTCTCCCCTTTGTTTAATTCTGGGTTCTTCACGGTGGCGATGGAGTACCTCCCTCGAATGCTCGCGTCGAGTTTGCTCTTCGTTAATGATCCGAATGTCTTGATTCACTGGAACAGTATCTCCTCCTTACAATTTGACACTGTGGAGAACTTGCAAAGCAAGTTTTAGAACTCTTGATGAGTTGATTGATCTTAACCGTAATTGGTTAGACAAGCCAATGATCTCTTCTATGCTGCCCAAGAGCAGGATGAAAGATCCCCTTCGAACTAAGATGATTTCTTAGTTATTTATAGAGGATTAAGGGGTGTAACCACCTCCTTAATTCGCTCCTAAGTGGGGCTAATGGGATGTAACCGCCCCTTAAATCACTCCTGAGTGGAGTTGTGATCCCCTCAAATCATGGGAAATGGTTTTAAAACCGTTCAGCTCGTGTTTGAACGAGTCAAACGCAAAATCCGTTTTCTGGCATGAATTCTGCATTCAAACGCAGTGTTTGGAAGCTCAGACGCAGCAATTGGAAGCTGTGTTGATAGCGTTGGAAGCTATGTTTATACCAATTTGGAAGCTGCGTTGGCAGCTGGATCTGAGCTGCGTTTGCAGCGTTTGGAGCTGAATGTGACCTGCGTTTGCAGCCAGGTTAAACCTGCGTTTGCAGCCAGGTTAAACCTGCGTCCGCGGTCAAATTGTTGTTGCGTCTTGATGATGGTACGCGGGGAGGACTTCCACGTCTTGGTTTGAAGAGACCGTCGATTTGTAGTCTCTTTCTGTCAGAGCGTTACAAAGATCATCGTTTTGTAATCTTTGCTTTAACTCTTTGATATGTGAGAGTCGTCAGATTGTAACTCCCGATATTGATTGTGAAGGTTGTTGATTAGAGCTTTCATCAGTTGTTGTGAAGGTCGTCAGATTGTAACCTTCATCGATCTACGTGAAAGTCTTCAAATTATAGCCTTCTGAAAGTCATCAGATTGTAACTTCCATCATCGGTGTTTAATAGGGAATCAGCTATCTATTGTAATTTTTAGACAACCTACACTTGTAACTATATATAGGACAACAAATCCATATACATGACAATAAAACGCTGACCTATATAGGCTCGCTACAGCTTGCACGATTGTGACCCTCCATGTTGCATCGAGAGCACTTAACAGGACAGGTGTTCAGTGACCTGTTGTTTATTCGTCTAGTGCATGGTCTATCACATCTTTTTTTGGTGAGAGGAGGCTTTAACACTCGCTCTTCTGGCAGTACAAAGCGCTTCTCGTAATCTAGGATGGGAAAGATGATCAATGCATAACTTGCTCTGAATGCGTCAACAATCATGTACCAATCACAATATTGATAAATTCCTCATCCTATCCATGTAATTGCAACGCACGTATGTTTGCAAGGAATGCGGGTGATGTCCCAGGACCTACAAGAACAAGTACGATTCTTCAAATCTACACGGCAAGTTTTATTGGACTCGATTTCCACAATATCTTCTGTCGAATGTTTAATTGCCAAGCAGCTACCATGCTGAATATTATCATACAGCACCATCTCCGCTTTTGGGCATAAGTATCCAGATCATTTCTGACCCACTAGCCTCCTTTCATGCATGCGCTCCATTATTTGCTTCCGTATGGTCTCAACCAAAGGTAAGATTCGCAACAATTGTGTCTTTCTTATCCAGCTGTTGAAGGACTCAGCAACGTTTGAAGTAACATGGCTATACCTTAACAACAAAACACTAACATTAATAATTAAACCATAAACTAAACATTAAAGGCCTAACATTAACAACAAATATTCTAAACTTAACAGCAAAACCCTAGCAGAATAACTATAATCATAACAATAAAAATCTAACATTAACAGAAAACTGTAGGATAACTCTAACCTTAACAACTATAACGGTGATGTAAGAAAATAACGTTGAAACCAAGCTATCTTACCTTATACCAGGAAAGTGCGCGTTTGCCCATCTCTCCGGGGAGTATTCCATTACAGTGACGTAAGCCCTGTGATCGATCGCTGCTAATTCTTTCATGTCACGTAAGCCCTGTGATCGATCGCTGCTAATTCTTTCATGTCATTATCCCATTCAGATATTGTGAACTTATAAGCCGCAGATTGTAACAGCTCGCATGTCATTATCCCATTCAGATATTGTGAACTTATAAGCCGCAGATTGTAACAGCTCGCCCAACGTAGTCATGACATTTGCCTTGTGCCCAAAATCCTTCATCTTCTTTTTGAAATTCTCGACTAGATGCAGAACACATCTTGAATGGAATGCATCAGGAAAAAATTCCTCGACTGCTGCCCTGATACCCTTGTTGTCGTCGGAAATCATTACCAGTCGATATGGAGGTTGGTAAGGATTTTCCCTATCATATAGTAATGTCCATAATCCTTGTAATAACCATTTCCAGTTAACCTTATTCTCTTGGTCGCATATGCAATAAGAAAGGGGAAATATTCCCTGGTTGCCGTCATACCCAATAGCACTTAGTAGTATGCCTCTGTAACAATCTTTAATAAATGTTCCATCCAAAAATAATAGAGGCCTACACCCAGCAATAAACCCTTTAATACAGATATTATAACTAATGAACAATCGCCTGATCCTCCCGTCATCAGCATCAATAACAACACGACTCACTGGATTAGTTGCATGCACCATGGATTCATACCTACATGAATATAACAACAAAGCAGTACATTTAGCAAAGGATTCATAACCATAACAAATAATCTTCAAACTTCACGACCAACACGTATACTTAACGACGAAGTAATAACTTTAACAACTAATATGTATAGTTAGCAACCAAAACGTAAGCAGTAGATTTAGCAAATGATTCATAACTATAACAATTGATCTTCAAACTTCACAACCAACACGTATACTTAACGACGAACCAATAACTTTACCAACTAATACGTATAGTTAGCAACGAAAACCTAAGCAGTAGATTTAGCAACGGATTCATAACCATAACAATTGATCTTCAAACTTCACAACCAACCCGTATACTTAACGTCAAATCAATAACTTTAACAACTACTACGTATAGTTAGCAACCAAAACATAAGAGTGGTTTCAGAAGAATAAAAAAGATAAGGATCATCTCAGTGAATCGTAAGCCTCATCATCGTCGCCGAACAGGTCCTGTTGAGCTGTCTCCTTGCTCCACCAAGCTTTATTGTAGTTAATCTTGATGCCAAAATTAGAGAGCATGTCATTCTTAATATCAACTGCACGAATATCTGGCCTAACCTTCAAAATAGCTTGTATTTGGCTAGCAATGAACTTCCTTGATGTCCTTGAGTTGCCAGCATTTGCTCTATGTTGACCGCATGTGTGGGTAGACTCGAAATTCTTTATGGACATGATAGACAAATTTCTGAGCGGGGAAGCAAACAACATCCAAGGGCAACCATGTGTGTGCTTGAATCGGCAATAGACTCTTATGCATCTTTGTTCATTATGGTAAAAATCATACTCGAACCGTTTAGCAATTGAATAGTATTGAAGTGCTAATCTAACTTCAGCAGCACTATCAAATTTCTGACCAACTTCACGTATGGAGGTGTGCCATTTAGTTGGGATCTTTGTTTGGTGATTAAGCATGTCTTCCAGCAGCCTGATCGAGTCGCCGGTGGGGTTGTCATTAGGAATACACTCATCATTATAGGTTTGGGTGAACGTGGTATCTGCGCACCATGGTTTTTCTGTCGGTATTGTCCTGAAGTAGTAATAAAAAATACATAACCTTAGCAACGAACTGATAACCTTAACAACGAACTCATAAACGTAACAGCCAACACATATCCTTAACAACTAACCCTTATACTTAAGGACAGACTCGTGACCTTAACAACAAACGTATATACTTAACATCAAACACCTTATCTTAGCAACCAACTAGTATACGTAATAGCCAACAAATAACCTTAACAACCGGTCCTTAACATAACATTGGCAACCAACTCATTATCTAAGCAACCAATGCATAAGGTTAACAACTAATGACAAAACCTATCAGTGAACTCAAAAGAAAATCTGGAGTGTAATTCCTACGCAGTTTCCAGCGTAGTCTGCGTGTTCTGTGAAGTTGAGGATTCCTCAGCGGAGGTAGCATACAAATTCGCGTCTGTAAATCCATTACGCCGACAATACTCGAACATCAAATTTAAGTCATCGTCATTGTCAATTGAAATACTAAATTTCTTTTCCCTTTCGCATATGAACTTCAGTGAAAGAGATTGCATTGGTATTTTAAGCATTTCCGCCACTTGATATCTCAAGCTGATTATTTCTGTATTCTTTTTTATAACGACGAATACACTGTCACTACCTTTGTTGCTTTTTTACCTTCGTTACCATGCATAGAAGAGATCCATCCGCCATTTTATTACAGAGAGTAGTTGAAGAATCGAAGAGGTTTTTATTGAGGAGAATTAAGTGGAAGGAACAAATTAGTTGGGGTAATAGAATGGGGAGGAACTCAGCGATTTTAGCTGGAAGGGGAATATATCTGGTGATAATTTTGGAGGGAAATGGGAATCCCCCAAAAAAAATCATTCTAATCATCATTTAATGCCTACAGTTGAAACGTCATGTTTCCGACGTGAGAGGGCGACGAACACAGGCTGCAAAGGGTATTTTGGATATTTTGAGTGGGGTTTAAACGGAATTACGCCTGAGGATTCGTTTTGGGAGCTGGAAGAAAACCGTGAGCGATTTTGGAGGCAAAGCACCCGTTGAAAAAGTCTTGGGGGGAGGGGGGAGCACGTTTTGTTGTGTTTTAGAGGCTGAAAGTATTTTCCCCCTTTTTTTCATCTTTCACAA